GGTAATTGGGATATGTGCCATTCGAGAAGCTGTCTTTGATTAACTTTGTTCATATACTGGAAACGCCCACCAACCCGCTTGAAATTTTGAGGTTAATGGAGTTTCACAACTCGAGTGCAGCTGTGGATAATTATTGAGTTTTAAACAACATCATAATTGACATTCACTGAATAATTACACTTGACTGGTGGACATCATCAACTGACCGAGTGATGCCACGTATGCTAACTACACCATTGAAGTGTGAAGTCAAGAAAGTCCTAAAAGAAGATCACCCAAATACAGAGTAAGATACGTTGAAAGACAAATAAAGATCGACGAACATTTTTGAAACAGGTGAACAAATTCGGTAATGTTGAATAAATTAAAGAGGATTGTATAAAATATGACATTACTGCTTTCGAATGAAACTTTATTTTTCTCTAATCTATCCAAAATAAGTATCTGCCGTTGTAAGTTTTATGTATGAACATTTTTTAGGCAACAGTATCTGGATCCCAGTCGTGTTTCTTTCTCTCGAAGTTGCTCAAAATGCTCATATCAGCTTCTGGGATATTGAAGTTGAGATCAATATTTTGTTCCATGTGTTCTTTCGAACGAGCTTTTGGAATGATAGCAAGGTTCTGTTGAAGAGACCAACGCAGTAAAATCTGGAAAAAAAGAACACACCATTTTTTCAGTCTCCATTTGTTACCTACTTGAAATAAAATATGTGAATATAAAAACTTGTTTTTAATATAAAATATTTTTAAAATGATCTCGTTAGCAGAATCGACAGGTACAAAATTGATTACCGTTTATTTGGTCTGATACAAGTTCACCATCTCTTCAAAATCTCAATATGTGGTGAGTGGGATAGTATGGCATTGTTTGTGCTTATGTTTACCTTTGAAATTTCTAATTATTACTGGAACAAATGGTAAAAGCTATGAATTATTCCCTGAAAAACATAACGCCGGCCGCCGCTGGTGGTCGTCGTCAATCGACTGGTCGCGCTCAACTCTACTTGTGTTTTTAGATAGTTTGAAGTGTAGTGGCGCTTCCAGAATAATTCTATCTTCTTCGAGATACTTCGATTACCATATATAAACACTACCGACACGCATATCGGGGAAGTCTAGTTGACGGTGCGGTTTGAAGTGTTTTGATTGTCTTCTGGGTTTTGCCGTGGTCTTCTTCGGTTATAATCTTCAAACGTTTCAACTGCAACTGCTTCAGTCATCTTCAGTGGCGCGGTCGAAGTACTTACTCTTCTTGATGTGTCAACTGAAAGTTTCTGTTGACACGTCTTACAAGAAAGGTGTTTTTTCTTCTTGTTGAAAGATTGCTAGCGTTCAGACTATTCAAAAAAGGGCAAGTAAAAACTTCCAAATAACTATAGACCAGTCGATTTGCAAGAGTGATATCAAAAATCATGGAGAAAGTCGTAAACCACCATATCCTTAAATATTCGGAAGGCTTCAACATCTTGAGCGATCATCAATATGGCTTTCGAAAACAACATATTTGGAATAACGTAATTGAGAAACATTGAGAGTCGAAAGCTGTTGCGCTTGATATTTCTAAGGTCTATTGACCGTGTGGCAAGAGGATTTGCTGGTCAAACTTCGATGCTAAGCTGTATAGCATACTATTAGCTATTGGTCCGTCATCGTTATTCATAATATTATGTTTACTTATTTCTACACAACAGTTAACAAGTTAACAACAGGCATCAAGATGCCTGTTCTTTTTAAAAGTCAATATTTCGTTTATTCTTGACCTAAACTTTTTCTTCCTTATTATATCATCTACAATACTCTTCGAGAAACCGTTACTGACTGTTATTTCCTGTATTGCCCGTTTTTTTTGTGATATTATCATGTCTGAGAGGAAAAGTTGAAAGACGATGGTTTTTAAAACAAGTCATACACTACAGAGCCTTTTAGGAAATCCAAAAAACAAAGTCAAGAATTCGGAAAACTAAATAAGGACTGCGATGCAAAATATTATGGACAGGCATAGACTTCAGTTCATTAAGATTAGTTAGACAAGTTAACAACAACAGGCATCTAGAAGCCTATGAGAGTGTGACAATAAGTAAACATAATAATATTATGAATAACGATGGTGGGCCAATACCCAATAGTATACTATACAATAGCTGTTTAAAATAATTATCAGATTAACCTGACTATTACATAAGGACACATTGTGAAATTAATTTAAGACTAGTAGATAAGCCAACGGTAATGGGCCATACTTATATGATTCAGATAAAAAAAGAATACAAAAAGTGCAAAATTCTTGTTGCCGCCTAATTAATGGAATTCGTAAGTATGATTCAATTTCTGACGCCTTCAAAAACTCCCGCTGACACAATATGAAAAACCGTGTGATTCATCATTTGGGTTGTTTTGTCCATAAATTGATCACCCTTCCCCATTCTTCTCTTTTGACACAAAAACTAATTCTGCGTGAAAATATTCACTCAAGAAACATTAGACATAAAAACAAATTAACTATCGATCGAAGAGGTTCTGCAGAAGGGACGACACACAAAGATCGTATGGGACCCTACTGCATCAATCGAAAGGAAGTTGTACCAGATTTTGAAAAAACACCAAGTCTATTTTTCGGACAAGGAAAAATAATGGCTAACACCGCACCACAGTAAGCCCCCTCACTTGTATGGTCTACCCAAAATCCACAAGAAGGACGTTCCGCTTAGACCGATCATCAGCTCCAGAGATTCGTCTACTCAAAACTTGTCTAGATTTTTACTTCCCTTATAATTGCACAACTATTCATTTCCACAGTCTTATCAGTGGTGAAGGTTGGAATTTCATCAACAGTATCAGGCTTGTACACAGATTGAAACTGTTGTCATATATTGCTTATTCTTAATTGAAAGTAGACCGTTTATTGCTTGAAATTCAACAGTTATTTAATGCTAGCGATCTGACCCTGTTTTGCACGATCATATACCTATACCTAATATTTTTCCCTATTGTCGCATCAGCTTGGTACCGATAATAATAATAAAATTTACTCAAACAGAAGTATATTCACAACGCTCTGATTAAAGTTCAAAATAGGTACTATTTATAAGTACCTCAAGTCAGTTTGTATTCAAAGAACATTTCAGTTTGAGATGTCTACTTGAAAGTTATAAAATCGCGACAAGTGTTTTGGTATACAATAGCATTTTTGGGCGTTACAATACTGTTATTAAAAAATTCTGTGTTGTGCTTTTACAGTGATTTGAATCATATTGACTATCACTACCTTACGTATTGCTGTGTCAACAACAGATACGAGGTGGATATTATTGACTAAATTGCAGAAACAAGCTGAACCAGGTCTATCCAGTTTCAAATAATGATTTTAAACATTATGTAACTGCAACTTACTTTGGTGATGCTACTAATAATATTGTTTTTTTTTATTAAAAAAAACGAAGAATTGTATGTAGCCTACAGAACAAATAATGATTTGAGTGAATTCATCAAAAACAATGAAAATGAAACTCCAATGTCGATTATATCGGGAGTATACAGGTCGGCTCGTGGTTCTTGTCCAAAATTTTATACGGGACAAAGTGGAATAACTAAACTACTCAAATTGTATATATAGACACATCCTTAAAAGACAATAAGTGAAAAAATATGTATTATTTCATGATGAAAACTCCTGGTGTGTACTCCATACTAATTCTCATGATGTTCCATTCGGTTGTTGTTTACTTTTTTTACTTCTTTTTGTACTCTTAGCTACAAATATCTTAATTTTATGAACGCGCCTTATTCCCCTACGGCTGGCGCCCCAGTTGGAATATTCAAAAATTCTTTCTTGTTGCACATCTACAACACAAAACAAACCTACCTACATGCAAAATTCCAGCCTCCGAAAATATAGCGGTACGGTGAAACAGTTATGAAGAGGTAATT